AGAGAGAGAGAGAGAGAGAGAGAGAGAGAGAGAGAGAGAGAGAGAGATTAAACCAAATCTCTGTGCTGTCTAGGCAAAAGTGCCCTTCTACTAGGCTGTAACCAAGCCCCCACGGTCTGTAGATGAATGCTCTGTTTGGTTCCTTTAGAGGCAACTCTTGATAGTTTTGTTGAAAAATCAAAAAGGATTACTTAAAGATTCTTTTCTCTTCTAAACTTTTGTTACTCTCTCAATAAAAATAATGGATGGGAAAATTTGGGAACTTTTTCTGTATGTATGTACATACGTATGTACGTATATTCATTTATTGAAATAAGGTTTTACTATGCTTCCCAGACTGGCTGGTAAAGCCAACATTCAGGTGATCCTCTTCCTTTAGTATCCTGGGTAGATTTTTGGTATGTTGGAGCTGTGCTATTGTATCTGGGATTCATTTTTGTTCTGTCAAGAATTGACAGCCAGGCAGTGGTGGCGCACGCCTTTAATCCCAGCACTTGGGAGGCAGAGGCAGGCAGATTTCTGAGTTCAAGGCCAGCCTGGTCTACAGAGTGAGTTCCAGGACAGCCAGGGCTACACAGAGAAACCCTGCCTCGAAAAACCAAAAAAATAAAAAAATAAAAAGAATTGACCTAACTTATTTCGAATGTCCATGTCTTTGCCGTCTTTTGTCAGCAGTAGGTGGCTCCACTGAATTACCTCTGCCTGTCAACAGAAGTTCCGGGTGTGTTTGTCAGAAAATAACATTTTTACATACTTAGGATTAGAAGGAATCTCGAAGTCAGGAAAGGAGGCAATCCCCGTGTGATTGTGTCCCTCTATTATGTCAACTTCGAATCCTTCAGGGTCCTGTGGGGAAACAAAACAAACAACACCATGAAAATCCACCCCTGCCTTAGTTAAGTTTTTGTTGTTATCAAAGAATATCTGGTGCCAGGAAGGTTTTAAAGAATAGAGATTTATTTTTGGCCCACAATTCTGGAAGCTAGAGTTGAAAGAAGCCCACACTGGACAGGAGAGCAATGCTGCTTCAACTCTGGATGGAGAGACAGAAGGGCAAGCAAGCATTTATGAAGCGTTGGTTCTTACAGCAGGCCCTCCAAGGGAGAGCTTTCCCATGAGAACAGCCCTTCTCAGTCCCTACATCTGTCAGGAAAGTGCCCTGACACGAAGTAAATACTTACTATGAAAGTTAAGACTGTTTCTCTGGTGACTGGCACTAAGTCATTCTCCACTGAGTAGACGCCAACCTTTACTGCAGGAATAAGTGATATCGTCAAAAACCTTGTTAGACAAGGACTGATCTGAGTTTTGAAACAAACACCTTCAGGGTGAAAATGATCTAAACTACACTGGATGGCATTCTTGATGATGAATAAAATTACACACACACACACACGCACATATATATATATATATATATATATATATATATATCATCTTTAATGAGATAAATCTCATTAAAAACTACACAATCCATAGATAAAAACAAATGTACAAGAAAATGGTTGGTAAACATATACATTACTAAAGATTCTTTCATTCTAAAGCAAATCCTTATGAGTTACTTCTACTGAATAAGATAGTTTACTTTATGAAAATACTTATCTAAAACTTGCTGAGAGGGGGCTGGTGAGATGGCTCAGTGGTTAAGAGTACTGACTGCTCTTCCAGAGGTCATGAGTTCAAATCCCAGCAACCACATGGTGGCTCACAACCATCTGCAATGATATCTGATGCCCTCTTGTGGGGTGTCTGAAGACAGCTACAGGGTACTTATATAAATAAATAAATAGTTTAAAAAATAAAATAAAATAAAACTTGCTGAGAACAAGTATATAGTAGAAAATTACTTATACCTGTAATTAGGCCACCATTTATCAGGAATTTTATAATATCAAAAGAGTAAGATCCACTGAGGGTTATATGAAAGCATCCAGTACTACCTTCCCTTGGGGCTGAAGAGTTTACTGAGAAATGGGGAGTTTGGTTCAGATAGCATACACCCTCCCAATTACGAAAACCAGCAAGGCTCCAAATTAGCTCTTCCTACAAAATTACTGTCATCATGTGACTGCAGTATATTTGTGCACTAGGTCCTATGATTGTTTTCTCTTCTTTAAAAGAATAGTAGCAACATCTCAGAACTGCTAGCTTCCTTGTCCATGCTAGGCAAGCATTCTGTCACAGAAACACATCACTAAACCTTTGTTTGCTTGCTAAGTAGCCCAGGTTAGCCTGTGATTCACAACCCGTTTACATCTGCCTACCATGTTCTGGGATTAGAGCCACACCTCAATACCCTACCAGACCTTCTACTTTAAAAATTTTGTATGTGTATCAAAGCTTATTTATTTTTTAATTTGCTTATTTATTTTTATACTTTAGAAATAGATTCACAGAAAAAAACATTAGTGGAGCATTGGCATATTTTTATCTCGGACACTGCAGTTTTTAATCTCTACAAGTTTGAATTTGAACCCTTAACATATCTTCTTTGGTTTTGTTTATTGTGTTCAATATTTCCTTAACATTTTGATTTTTTTGAGAATTACAAGCATGAGTACTGTAAGTGCATCATTTCTACCCCTTTCTATTATTGTATTTATGTACACACATTACTATGTCTCTCCTATGCACATGTGTTTTGGGCTGGCTACTCGGGATTGGATTAGCTATCGGGGGCACATCCTAGGACAAAGCTGATTCTCCCGATCTCATCAGCCATATAGTTCTTCATCTAGGGTTGAGGCCTTCTAAAATTTCCCTCATCTATGTGGGTATATCAACTCAACTGCTCAGAGATTACGTGATCATGGGATGCCCAGTCCCAAATGTTACATCTAAAACACAACCCCCTACCTATGATTCAGGGCACATTGTGGACCAGAAGGCAGAAGCCTCTGAAATCTCAGTAATGTGATTGCCTAAACTACAAAACTACATGGTGGAACTTCTAACTCAGCTCTTTAGGGACACAGTGACACAATTTAATTCTTCACGGGTTTTCAAACCATTTCACAGCCAAGTCTTGATACACACACACACACACACACACACACACACATACACACATACACACAAATAGAAATAGTACCATAAAATCAGTGTCACTTCCACTGTTTGCCAGTACTGGGTAAGCTCTACAAAGAAGTCCCATTAAAACTGATTTTACCAAGGTAACAAGGTAAAATTTATGATCAGTAAGTCCCCCACATCTTGCTCTCTCCTTCCTTCCATGTTGTCTACCTCAAATTTGCCCTCCTGACTGGGGATAAACCCACCTTCCCTGTCCAGATATCAAGAAAGAACTGTTAAGCGGCATGTGGCAAAAGCTAAGATCACAGGTCCTGAAGTTCCAAACTGTGGTCTCTTCTCATTGCTGACTTCTCTGTTCAGGGTTAGCTTGACCTTTAAATTTTAGCTAATTAGTAAAACAGGAACATTGACTCAACGTGGGTACTCACAGATACAAAGAAACAGTTTCCCCTGACTCAGCACAAAACAAGTAACAAATGTTTACATTATCACTATTATTTCAGTGACTATTATTTGCATAGTTTCTAACCTAGCTTTTAGTTAACTTAGAATATTAATCTTAACATATCAGAGGCAAGATCAATAAAATCAGTATGTCAAAGATGTGACTTATTAAAATGCCTTGTGTGCCAGACAGTGAAATCAGAGTAGTGAAGCCAGTCAGATATGGATGTCTTCTAACATTGTGTAGGAGAGAGAAAATACAATTTCGTGAATTTCCAGGCCCATGGGGTGCTACAGAGGACACTCGCTTTTTGAGAGAACAAGAGAGGGCTGAAAAAGTGCCTCAGTGATGGAGCACTTGCCTGGGATGTAGGAGGCCCTGGGTTTTTATCCCCTGCACTGACAAGGTAAAAGGAGACAGAAAGTGTTTGAAGATGTGAGGGATGGGGTGGGGGTGGCAGGACAAGCTATAATTACAGAGTCCTAGGGGGATCTGTCTATAAGATGACACCAGCAGGAGGTAACTGAGGCAAAAGAAGGGTTAAGAATGTTCTAGGCAGAGGTGACAGCACATTGCACCACTTTCATATGGATGAGAAAATGGCAGGAAAAGCAATGGAGCTGAGGTCAGTTTGGCTTGAGTCCACAGTTGTGGAAAGGAGCGGGCATAGTAGATAAAGACTTAAGTCTTTATGCAAAGATGCTTAAGCTGATACTCCTTCACATATCTTCACATTACATACATCAGTAGGATAAAGGACTTTAGAATAGTCTTATGGGCAGAGGCTACTGTCTCATATACCAAATCGTCTTGCTGGGGTCACAGTAGTGGTTCTGGCTAAGGTGGTGGCAACATCCTCACCCTGTCTAGGTCTTTGCTTGCCCAGCCAGTATAACCGGTCCTCTTGCTTAATGGTGTGGTGGCTTCATAGAGTCCCGGTCTACCTCACTACTGACACCATTGCCAAAATTAGGAGATATCTGCTATGAGCAAGGTTAAGAAACAGGACAAAGCAAAACAGAGTGGTCCTGCCTGCTATTGTTGGTCCTTGCCCCAGGGTACCTTCAATGTAACATCCCAGCTTCCTCCCATCGCATGCGGGGCTTGTGTAAAGCCATCTGTAGCTGTGGATTAGAAGCTAGTGATGACAAGTGGCAGAGGGAAAAACAGAATATTTTATAAACAGTGTTGACATTTGTTTATGTCTTATTTTGAGTTCTTTGGGTGGAAACATAGGTTTTCCTCAGTCATGGAGTTCATGGCTTCTGCCAGTCTCCTCTAACGGTAACACTGAAGCTATGAAACCATGCTTGGCAGACCTTTTCTTAGGTGGATAAACATAGAAAATCAGCATCTAGACATTTCTGCCGTGTACTTTAATCCCTGCAAAACACCGAATCTTTTTCTTTTGGTTTTCTTTTTCTAACTTGACTGGCTGCCAAATCCAAGAATTTTTTTTTTTAAAGATTTACTTATTTTATTTATATGAGTACACTGTAGCTGTCTTCAGACACACCAGAAGAGAACATCAGATCCCATTACAGATGGTTGTGAGCCACCATGTGGTTGCTGGGAGTTGAACTCAGGACCTCTGGAAAAGCAGTCAGTGCTCTTAACTGCTGAGTCATCTCTCTCTCCAGCCTCCAAGAATGTTTTATAAACAAGATTTTAAGATAAATCATTTCCCAGTGCCAAAAGTGTATTTGTAATTATGTCTTCTGTATTTTCGATGAATAATTTCTTTAACAAGGTGGATAAAATGATCATTGATTGTGTGATTTATCAGCTCCTCTATAAATTAAAAATGAAAATGTTATTTGAAAGTATAAATGTCATTAGGATTTGAGCTTCTTTTAAGTAGAAATCATCTCCATTTAATTCCAGGTATTAAAAGTTGCACATATTTGCATCAACTTCCCCCCCCCCCCAGAAAGAAGCATCATGTACCCTACCAGGCTGTTGTGGAGTGTACACAGGCTTGTCGGTGTGAACGAAGAGAGAGCTGTTGTCATAGATGATTGGCATCATTTCTAATTTGGAAAAATGCTTTGACACGACTTCCAAATACACATTTGAAAACGAGTTTTGTCCTTCAAACAACTGTTTGGCCTGAATCTGTAAGATAACAAAATCCATCAATGGGAATGTGTGACTGTAAAGTTGTAAAGTATGTTGACCTAAATATTAATAATAATAATGATGATATTGTTATTATTATAATTATTATCTCATTAAGACCAAGAGTGAGCTTGAGTATTGCACCATTTTTTTAAAAGAGATTCACTCAGCTAGAGAGATGGCTGAGCAGTTAGAAGCACCTGTTGATCTTCCAGAAGACAAAAGGTTCAGTTCCCAGCATGCACTTGATAACAGAAACCACCTCTGACTCCAGTTTCAAGTGATCGTATCTATGCCCTCTTCTGGCCTCGTTGGGTACTGCACACAATTGTACCCAAAACTACATGCAGGCAAAATATCGGTACACTTGAAATTAAAATAGTAATGAGCCAGGCATACTGGTGCACACCTTTGCTCTAAACACTCGGAAGGCAGAAGCAGGTGGATCTCTGTGAGTTTGAGGCCAGCCAGGTCTACAGGGTGAGTTCCAGGACAACCGGGGCTACATATTGGCTTCTGGATGAATTGTTTTCTCCATTCCGCCTGTAATATCCTGGCCAATAGCTTGGACACATAACATTACTCCACTTCTGCAATCACAGTACAGATACATGCACTCCAGTCTTCATGCATGATGACATCACCACCTTTATATTCAGTGATATGGGGACTGAATGTATTAACATAGATAATCAAAGGTATTTCTATGATAATTTAGGGTTTGGAAACATGGGGTAAAGTTAATTACTGAAATCAACTGCTATGAGATTATTATAAAAATTTGAAAACAGTAAAAATCTACAGATTTTTCTGTAGTGGGATGTATTATAAAAAACAAACTACAGCTTCTCTCTCAGTTGTTGGCTTGGTGTTTCTGTGGGACTCCTAACATTCCGAGTGGGGTGTATCTCTGACTCTTTCATCTGCTCTGGGGACCCTTTTCCTCCTACTGGGTTGCCTCTCCCAGCCGTGATATCTGAGGGTTTATACTTAGTCTTATTTTGTTATACCACGTTCCTAGGAAGCCTGCTGTTTTCTGAAGGGAAACAAAGGAGGGGTGGACCTGGAGGAGAGAGAGGTGGGAAGGAACAGGAGGAATGGAGGGAGGGAAAATGGCAGACATGTCTTCTGGCTGTGCTGTCTAATATGGGAGCCAGTTGTCACATATGGCTACTCTAGCACTCACAACATGGCTAGTGTCATGGAGGAACTGAAGTATTACATCAGGGGAATTTAATTGATTTTAATTTAAAGGCAAATATGGCTGGTGGCTACCATGCTTCATAATTCAAATGTGGCTGGAGAAAGCAATAGTCGGGGGAAACAAACTTTACATTTTTATAGACGTAGTAATTGAAAAAATTTTTTACATTCATTCTCCAGAGTATTAATGGAACAATTCCTATGTCTGCTTAGAATTTATTTCAAGCAATGTTTCTCAATTATGAGTTGTAGTATATATTATATACACACACACATACACATACACATACACACACACATATAAACATATACATCATTTTCTTTTCTTTTTTTTTTTTTTTTGAGACAAGGTTTCTCTGTGTAGCCCTGGCTGTCCTGGAACTCACTCTGTAGACCAGGCTGGCCTCAAACTCAGAAATCCGCCTGCCTCTGCCTCCCGAGTGCTGGGATTAAAGGCGTGTGCCACCACCGCCAGGCCATATACATCATTTTCAAAGATTAAAAGATATGAACAATTCACAGCATTGACATTTTGTTACTTACAATGAAATGAAAAATCATTTTCAACATGAAATATATGTATTTCATATATATACTTAAATTAAGTAGAAATCCACTCCTATGATTTTTAGATATTTACAACTAAAATAAGGACTAGCAGTATATCTCAGTGGTTAGGCGTGCTTAGTGTTCGTGTGTAGAACCTGGGGTTTTCTTTCCCAGCCTCCACATCAGGTAGCTCGCAGTCACCTGTAACTACAGTTTCCAGGGAACCTGGCTGGCCTTTCTAGCATCTGAGGACTAGCGTGTAGTGTACATTGTACACATAAACTCATGCAGGCACACAAGCAAACATGCAAATAAAGAAAAAAATTTTAACTTAAAGATTTTAAAGATCAATATAAAACCATAAAAACTTAAAAAAATATTAGAAAATTTGTACACTTCTTACTTTAAGGCCTTTATAACATTGTTGGTTTTACTATCTGTATGAATGTCTCACTGTAGAGAAACATCAGTTTCTATAGAGCAACAGAGCCTCTTTTAAAGCTGACATTCTCTCATTTTTATGGTTTTCTGTTATCACAATGTTTAATAAGTGAGATGCAAATACTTTTCCAAACAAATGTATTAAAATGACTCTTCATGACTCTGGGATTTAAACCCAGAGCCTTGTGCATGCCAGGCAAGCACTCGACCACTGAACTATATCCCTGCCTGGAAATGTTTTAATAGAAGAAAAGGTCATTAGCTTAAGCTTGTTCTTTCTCTCGCTGATTGTCAATGAGAGCCGTTCCCTGCAGTATCATTTCACTGGTGGCTGCAGCTGTAGCTCAGTGCCAGAGGTCTGGCCTAACATGAGACCCTGGTCCCATGCACAGTGCCCCATTATCACTGGAAAGAGGAAGGAAGTCATGTATTGTTTAAAGAAAAAAGAAAACAATAATTTTACTAGTTTGGGATACTATGCATCTAACCATAGACTACTGAAGCTTGAACAAATGTTATAAATATGCATGTTTATGTTTCTCTGCTGTTTCCACATTGATATAATTTTATTTTCTAATAAAAATTGTTAACATTTGGATGCGTTGCTTAAAAAGCAAACAAAATTCTGTTTAGAATATTGTTTAACTCAGGGTCGGCAGAGATGGCTTAGTGGCTAAGAGCACTTGCTGTCCTTGCAGAGGACTTGGGGTTCTGCTCTAAGTTCCTGCATGGGGCAACTCACAATCTCCAGTTCCAGGAGATCTGACACTTTCTGGCCTTCTTGGGCACCTGAACACACATGGTATAGATAGATAGATAGATAGATAGATAGATAGATAGATAGATAGATAGATAGATGATGGATGGATAGATAGATAGGTAGGTAGGTAGATAGACAGATCTTTTAACAAATGAATTTGGGGGCAGGGGCTGAAGAAATAGCTCAGGGGTTAAGAGTGCTGGCTGTTCCTTGAAAGGTCCCAGGTTCAATTCCCAGCATCTACATGGCAGCTCACAACAGTCTATAACTCCAGTTCCAGGAGATCTGACAACTTTACACAAACATGCATGCAGGCAAAATGCCAATGCACATAAAATAAAAATAAATAAATCATTTAACAAATATATAAAAAAAGGAATTGTGATGACCTCATTGTTATCAGTTAGTGATAGTCATGTAATAATTACACAATGGTAGACGGATACAAATGATCAGGTCTCTATGCTATCAATATTCAAAACTATACATATTATCCAAAAATATTTTATATTTATAATTTCAAAAGAAAGACAAATACTTACTGTTAAGACTGCAGAGTTTTGGAATTTATTTTCTGGTGATAAATTAACAGTGCCCGAAGTGTAATGAACATTTTCATCAGGATAACTTTTTACAGAGATGGTTGTGTCAAATGCCTCAGTGTAGCCGTGGGCTTCAACTGTAATATTTTCAGGAGCTCCAACTCGGAAGACGATTGGGGTTGAAATGATGTATCTGCTGAAACAGAAAAAGGCTCAGTAGCTTTGGCAACTGTGGTGGTTTTAATAAGCTTGACCCACAGGGAGTGGCACTATTAGGAGGTGTGGCCTTGTTGGAGTGGGTGTGGCCTTGTGTATTGCTGTTGGAGTGGGCAAGTGAGCTTCTTCCTAGCTGCCTGAGGATACCAGTATTCTCCTGTCTGCCTTTGGAACAAGATGTAGACCTCTGAGCTCCTTCTCCAGCACCATGTCTGCCTGGATGCTACCATGTTTCCTGACATGATGATAATGGACTGAACCTCTGAACATGTAAGCCAGCCCCAATTAAATGCTGTCCTTTTAAGAGTTGCCTTGGTTATGGTGTCTGTTCACAGCAATGAAACCCTAGGACAGGGACACATTCTTGTACCCCTGATTCATGGTCATCTCACTATAGATGTATTTTCTAATAGTCATGATTAGAAAACTACACTCATTTTGTGATCTATGACAAATTCAGCAAGGTTTCCTAGAAGAAATAATTTGAAACTAAGTCTCAAAAACCAGAGCAGGGAATTTGGTTTACAGTTAAGTTAGTAACAGTGGATTACTGGCCTACTTTACCTGAAGAGGACTAAATAAGGTCATAAAGCATTAACATTTCATATGCTAATGTAAAATAAAAACACACAAAAACAAGGTTGACTAGAACACCTAAGTGGGGTCACTGTTCTCCAATGAAGAAAAATATCAAATAGGCACTGGTCACTAAACACCAGCTCTGTCTTCCAATGGCTGAGTGAGGTTACGTCCCTTGCCTGTTCTGTCACCTTTTTCTGTGGTGAACTAAATAAGTGCACGTCCATAAAACATTACCATGCTACTACTCAAGAAAGAATGACACTCACTAAAGTAGTCGAAAGAAAGAGATCTGAGACCTGTGTTTCATCAGTGGGTAAAGGTAAACCTACAATACAGATGCACCAGGGAACTGCCTACAAACTGAAGGACAGAGTCCTGAGCTGAGATACTCTGCAGTAGCTCAGCATGCGACCGAGGCTTTCTGTGACCCAAGCTCTGATAGGAATTGATAGAACTCTTTCATTCCCTACAGAAAATCAGGGATGTCCCAGGCATGGCTATTATTCCTACGCTACATGTGAACAAAAGTAATTTGATCAAGGCCAAACGGTTGATAAGTAACTAAGTGAGGCAAGATTTTAGCAGTTTCTATGTTTATAATTAGGGTCAGGGTTACAAGTCTACATCCCCTCCTCAGTTTTGTTTTGCTTGGAATTTTTACAAAAAAAAAAAACAAACCCACAAAACAAAACCAGAAAACAAAAAACAAAAAAAAAATCTAATTGAAGGCAAGCTTTGAAACACAGTTTTGTTGTTTTCCTGAGAGAGTTTCTCTGCCTAGTAGACCAGGCTGGCCTTGAATGCAAGAGATCCTCCAGCCTCTGCCTCCAGGGTCCTGGGATCAAAGGCGTGTGCCACACACCCAGCCATGCCAGGTTTTGAAATACAAATTTTAAATTGTATGGTTTTCTTAATTACCTCATTAAGTAGGAACTTATAAAAACAACAACAATAAAAAAATCACAAGAGCATCTAATCTGAACAGTAAAAAATGGAGAAAGACTACACAGAAGAGAAGTATGTTTTAACCCCAGAGGACTCAGACACTGAGTCATATAATGCCCCAACAGATAGGGGTGCACTCATCACCTAATCTGAGAATTATTGCAGGCAACTGCCAATATTATAATATTTTTAAGTTATATTTCAACTTATAACTTAAGTGATAAAAGCTCGAGGAAAGCTCTTCTGCCGGTCATCCCCTCACTGCGGGCCACGTAGGAAGTGCTCAACGGACAGTTATCGAACCAAACAATTTATCCATGAAGTGATTGATTCCCGAGTTGTTCATGATCTGCTTTGTCACTGTTTCTGAAAAAGTTAGGAGCTGCCTTCCAGTAAAGGCCAACTCGACGCTGTAGAAAGAATTCAGAATGTTTCTCTGCGTGAACCATGGGAGTCTGGGTTCTGAGTCTGAGTTCCCTCGATACTGCTCGTTTGTTTGTTTGTGTGCTTGTTTTTGAAGAGAGAAAGAGGATATGAACTTGGGGGTGAATCTAGGAAGAATTAGGAAAGGTAAAAGATTACGATCAAAACTTTTTTTTGAAAATTTTTGAAATGTAAAATAAGCTAAGTAAAAAAAGAGCTGATCCTCAAGTAACTGTGGCTTAGCTGTAACAACAACAACAAAAAACACAAATAAACCAAGAACCAAACATAAATGAACAAAACAACAAAGTGTGTGTGTGTGCTCACACTCGTGTGTGCGCACGGGCATGTAGTCTTTGGCTAAGTTTTTGTTGACTAGGACTTTGAGTAATCTGTTCCCCTTTACAGGCAGCTGCCAACAGCTGCCTGGGTTAGCTACCCAGGGACTCTTAACTCAGCAGGACTTTCTCATTCAGATGAGCTTGTACACCGGGTGTCTCAGAGGAGCTAAAACGTCAGACTCGCTCAGTCTGATGATAGAACGTACTTATCAGTCATCCCAGCTGGCATACACCATACAACTAAGATGCTTTGCTTCACTTACGTTTGTTCCTGTCCCCAGCTTGGCTCAAGGAAGATCAAAACCAGAAGCGTTCCCCAAAAGCCCATGGCTTGAGACGGTATCAAAACCATATAGGTCACCTCTTTGAAGTTACTTTGAAGTGAACATGAAATTTGGGGATCAACTAGGTCGTGTTAATTATTAACACAAAGAAAAGGGATCACTACATAAGACAACTGAACTCAGAACAGAAACAACCTTTCAAGCCCAGGAACACAGGCAGAAGGAATCGTGTAGGAATTTGCACCAGAAAGTGTACTTTCATTAATGCAAAATAAAGACTCAACCGTGAGAGACTGGCCCTGTGAAGACAGGCTGGTGCTCAAAGGCAGGAACCTCTTTGCCTTTCGCTTTCTCTCTGGGTCATTTGCTCTGATGCTCTCCCATTGTTCAGCACATCCTCACTGTGACAAATACCTGAAACAATTTAATGGAAGAGAGAATTATTTTACTCATGGTGTCTGGGGTCTCAGCCCTGTCTTCCTTGCTTCTGGCCCAGGCATGGTGAGCCACACAGAACAGTGGAGAGCATGCATTGGAGCCCCCTCCTCCTGACAGGAGAGCCGATGACAGGAAGAAGCAGACACAAGATACCTTTCAAAGGCATAGTATGCCTGGTCATTTTCTTCTATAAATAAGCCCATCTCTTAAATCCTTACCACCTTGACCGGGCGGTGGTGGTGCATGCCTTTAATCCTGGCACTTGGGAGGCAGAGGCAGGCAGATTTCTGAGTTCGAGGCCAGCCTGGTCTACAGAGTGAGTTCCAGGACAGCCAGGGCTACACAGAGAAACCCTGTCTCGAAAAACAAACCAAACCAACCAACCAACCAAACAAACAAACAAAAACCAAAAAAAAAAAAATCCTTACCACCTTCCAATAAGGCCATCAAACTAAGACCCCATAGTGGAGTCACCCACTGATAGGTCAGAGTACTTGTGATCCAGTTGTTCCGATGAAGCCCCATCTATAGCTGGTCTTTGCTACTTTGTAGATTCTTCTTTTCCCACCCTTTATTTCCCCCCAACCCTGGTTTCACCCACTAACACTATACAGGAGAGATACGAAGAGAGGGGAGAGAACAATTAGAAAAATCACTGAATCTAACTTCTTTCCTTTTGTTTCCTCTATGACCATGGCTACTAACAAACTGCAAACAAAGTCCCTAAGTGACCAACTTCACCTACATTATCTCTAGGGGCTCTCCCGTTTATGTACCCTCTGAAAAGTTCCCAGAATTCCAAATGTCACACCATCACAGAAACTATCTGCAGCTGGCAAAACCATGTTTCTGCTAGAACACGAGGCAAATCATAATCAGCTGCTGTGGACAGTCTGAAGCAGCCCCATATCTCACATCTGAGATTAAAACGAAAACACAATCTTATATTTTTTCTGTGTTTTTAAAGAAACCAAAATTCCAAAATTGTTGCTAGTCCCATCAGCTGGCAAAGAAGCCTTTAACATGTGTTTGGGGATGCTGTAGCTTCAAACCTTATGTTTCAGTTTGGGTTTTACTGTTGTGAATAGACACCATGACCAAGGCAACTCTTATAAAGGCAAACATTTAACTGGGGCTGCCTTACAGGCTCTGAGGTTCAGCCCATGATCATCATGGCAGGAAACATGGCAGCATCCAGGCAGATGTGGAGTTGGAGGAACCAAAACTTCTACACCTTGATCCAAAGGCAGACAAGAGAAGACTGATTTCCAGGCAACTAAGGAGGAGTGTCTCAAAGCCTAGCCCCAGAGTGACAAGACTACACCTCTTCCAACAAGGTCACACCTCCTAATAGTGCCACTTCCCATAGGCCAAGCAGATTCAAACCACCACACCTTAATAATATCCGATGAGTTCTACTTGCTTCTGATATTGATAGAAACCTATGTACATTTATTTTCATGCTGACAGGATTTGAGGATGGATCTGGACTGGACAAGGTTAACAGGGCCATCCCTCTTAGAGAGCACCTGAGTGATGGCATCCTTGGTACTGGAAACAGTCTATGAACAACCGACATCTTCTATGGAGGGACAAGGAATGCGTCCTCAATCTGCCAGCCAGAGAAGGGGCAGTGCCCTACCATGTCACATTGAGACTGCTGGCATTACTAACTAACCCAGAAGTTTAGAATTCAGCAGAAAGTGCACACTCCCACACCCACACACTGAGAATCAGCATTCATTCAGACACAATGTGCTTCGTTTAAAAAATGTATACCTTCCAGTGGATTGTCACAGCTTTCATGTAAGAACTGAAGACTAAGATTCCTGTCACAACTGATTCGAGTCATTTATATGTGAATAAAATCACAGGCAAATGTATTGAGAAATAAATGTATATGTAAATAAGATTTTACCTTTAAGATTTCTAATTAAATTTATTTTCATAATGTTTTGCATTCAGGAGAAAGTGTTTTAGTTATATATTTCTTTATTATAATTCTTTCTGTCTCCCTATATATTTACTATTTGCAAGAAAACAAATGTCTCCAAACATATTTGTATAAACTGCCATTGCTTGTCAATGCTGTGTCAGCACTATTTAATTTGCATTCCTAACATATTCCTTAAGTATTTATACATGAAAATAATGTGTTTCAATCATTTTTATACCACATTCTTCCCTTCCAGGCCCTTCCAGACAGGTCCCCTACTCTCTACTGCATGTCCTTATTTTATATATATATATATATTACATATACATTAATAAACACATATAATACTGGGTCTAATTTGCATATGCATGGATGTGGGATTATCCACTGAAGCCTGGTCAACTTATCAGGGGCCACAGGAGTTAAAAAGCTGAAGATTCTTCCCTAGCGGCCACCAACTGTTAAGGCCCCATCTACAGCTTACCAACATGCTCATACTTGTTAGAGGGACAGAGGTGGACAAAGCAGAATCTGATGTGCAAATGTCTCTGAAGGCGTCTCTTATGTGTGTCCCAGAAGTGATGTAAATTGACCAATTTGTCTTAATCACCCAGCACATTATCTCAGAAGGACGTCTGTAAAATGGTTCAGCTGGATTGTGAAAGATGAATCTAATTTAAACAGAGAGCTTTTGCCATCATTTAGGCAAAAGTCAAACCATGTAAGTAAAAAACACAGCATTAGGCTTCTTTCAAAGGTGTCTGTGATGCTGTCAGCCACAGAAGCATAGTTTACGCTGCTTGCTTTGTGCGCGTGTTTGTGTATGGGCTCACATTATCACCTGGAGTGAAGCAAACACAGTAACAAACACTGGGAGCCTCAGGTCAAACTTCATGCTGTTGCCAGGACTTGCATAACTTCGCACACAAACCTTTAGCATTCCCAAATATTGCAACTTTCAAAGTTCTTTCTTTTCAACTTGTGACTGAAGAAAAGTAGCTCAGGTAAAGTTAATGTTTCTGGACAGCAGCACTCCTGCAGGGTAGGGGTAATGATTGACTGGTTGGGTTTTGCTATGGACAACTGTCCTGGGCACAGCCGACTGCTGGGCAAACCTGGCCTCCACCCTCTAGATGGCAGTAGAACCTTTGGAGCAATTAAGTCACCTATACTGTCAAAGGTTCCTGTTGGAGAAGGAGAGGGCAAAGAGGGCAAAGAGGGCAAAGAGGCCCCGGGTTGTGGCGCGGACCTTTAGTCCCAGCACTTGGGAGGCAGAGGTAGGTGGATTTCTGAGTTCGAGGCCAGCCTGGTCTTCAGAGTGAGTTCCAAGACAGCCAGGAACTCACAGAGAAACCCTGTCTTGAAAAACAAAACAAAACAAAAAAAGAGGCCCCTTGTTGAAAATCTCTAGGTTGGTGTGTGCATAGCTTAGAATTTATGGAAAATGAAGCCTGTGTCCCTATTAAATACACAGAATCCAGCAGGCTCTTCATGGGAGCTGTTTGAAGTTTCTATTGAAACTTGTCACCACATCCTTTGTCATCCACTGATGCCGGTACATCAGTGGCTCTCAACCTGAGGGTCCAGGCCTCTTTGAACATTGAAGGTCACAGGGGTCTCCTAAGACCATTGGAAAACAGATATTTACACTGCAACTCATAATAGATGTGAAATTATAGTTATGAAGTAGCAACAAAAATAATTTTATGTTTAGGGGGTTACTACAACATGAGGAACTGCATTAAAGGACTGCAGCATTGTGAAGGTTGAGAATCACTGCTGTACATGGAGAAGTCACCATTTCTCTACTGATGACAACCAAATTCACATCCCCATTACAGGCTTCACTTTCCAATGCTGGAGTAGATATTCTCTCTCTACATTCATCAAGGAGTCATAGCCAACTGAACGCATTTGACCAGGATATGTGAATACTAACAAACCTTCACTTGATTTCCTGGACTTTTCTCTTAAACACCACAACTGTAACTGCTTTAGACAAAGTCACCACTTGTATATCTAATTAGCATGTGAAATTTAGTGTGCTCAGAACTGGTATTTCAAAGACCTTCCCTGATGTATTGCTAAGATGTCTGGGAACGATCACCAACATTGAAGACAATGACATGACATGCAATATCAAATATTCATCCAAACCCTAATGTGTCTGTCTATCTATCTATCTATCTATCTATCTATCTATCTATCTCCATATATGCACATATATATAAGTATATACATATGCATGTACATATATACACGTGTGTGTGTGTGTGTGTGTGTGTGTGAACGTTTGTATGAAGCCACATGCATGCTGGAAGCCTCAGAGGTCAGAAGTGTCCCCTGGAACTACAGTTGCAGGAGATTATGGGCTGCCATGAGGTACTGAGAACTGAATCTGGGCCTTCTGCAAGATCACTAAGTATTCTTTAAAAAAAAAAGATATATTTATTTTATGTATGTAAGTAAACAGTTGCTCTTTTCAGACACACAAGAAGAGGGCATTGGATCCCATTACAGATTGTTGTGAACTACCATGTGGTGGCTGGGAATTGAACTCAGGACCTCTAGATGAAGAATCAGTGTGTTAAACGCTGAGCCATCTCTCCAGCCCCAGTAAGTATTCTTAACAGCTGACTCATATTTCCAGCCCTTCAAATTCTATTTTTAATGTGAAAATAACACATCCATTTCATTAGTGGATTCCTGGATGAGGGGCTCCTCTCCCCTTCTTATATCCCCAAAATTTCCATACCTTTTTATCCTGACTCAGAGTTAAGGTTGAAAAACTGAAGAAAGTGTGATATAAAATGACAAATTCTCCCCTCAAGTTATTTCTGTCAAACATTCTGTTGAAGAGATGATGACAGTAACTAATACAGAAACCAAATCTTTTAAGCTGCCATGGAAAACAGAGTGGTTTGAATGAAAACCGCCCTCGTAGGCTCATATGTTTGAATACTTGGTCCCCAGTTGGTGGAACTGTTTGGGAAGGCTTAGGAAGTGGCCTTGTGAGAGGTGTGTCACAAGGGGTGCACTTTGAAGTTTCTAAAGCCCACAGCATTTCCAGTTAGCTCTCGATTTCCGCCTCATGGCTGCATCTCAAGATGTGACCTCGCTGCTACAGTTCCATCACACGCCTGCCTGCCTCCTTCCTTGCCCCTGGCCTTGATGGTCATGGACTCATCCACGGAAACTGCCCTCAGCAAATTCTTACTTCTATAAGGTGCCTTGGTCATCGTGTCTTATCCCACAAGGGAAAGTAACTACAACAGAAGCCAAGAGAAGAGAACATTTCAAGAAGAGAAAAAAGTAGAGAATAATGCCCAAAATTGTTGAATTAACTTATGAGTATGTTAGTTGTTTTAGATTTGACCTTCCATGCTTAGATTTTTGCTCTACTCTAGGATGGTCCCTCTTTAAGTAGCAAGAGGTCCCCTAGCACAGAAGATAGATGTAGGAGGTCAGGGTGTGCTTTCCTTTTCTCCCTGTGGGGTCAGTGTTTAGCAGTGTCTACATTCTGCCAAAGACCACTGTTGAGATTGTGGTCCTTCTCACAGACACCGCTGTCGTGGAGTTTCAATATCAGCTCTTCCCCGTTACTCAAGAAATAATTAGGGCCCTTTATCTTGTTCCTTATCTGTGAGTGATTTATCCTTGATTTAATTCCTTAACCTTGAGCCCATTTCTGTGGGGGTTTTTTTCCTTTACTAAACTATCTGTACCAAATTTGAATCATTTAGAATAAATGTCGAGCAAAGCTAAAGCTATAGAGACCAAAAATAGATAGTAATTACATGGACCGAGGGCTGAGAACGGAGGCCAAACACAGACAAGCATGAGGAGACCAGCAAGAGTGACGGCTCTTCACTTTAAAATTATTCAATCAGTGTGTTTAAAACAAGTGAATTTTATAGACGTGAGTTATGCCTTGTAAATATGCTTTCAAAACGGTGAGGGGTACTTCTCACATGCTGGCACTAAGTTCTCAGGGTTAGCTGGCTAAATACAAAGCATCCCTTCTCTCTGCAGTCTCATCAGTGTCAGTCCTGAGAGCCCCTTTATAGTAAGCACAGAACGTTCAAACTATCAGCTGCCCAGTTTGTTCTAGCTGTAGGAAAGAGCGTCACAGAGTGGGGCTGTAGTACAGCTCATGGACTAAAGATGATTTGTATACTTCTGTGGAATTGAGTTTTTCAGGCATTCAAGGACTAACTGAGAATTACTTTAGACACGCTGGACTTGAGGTATTGATTTACATATCATTACACTGAGGGGTCAGGAAGGATATGTCACCAAGAAAAGCAAATAAGAATGCTTTGGTTTTCCTTTCCCATGACCCATCATGAAGTCTTTCTTTCACTGTAAGTCATGGATAATCTATAGAGTGGCATGTCGAGGCCAAGTGGATGTGATTTCATCAACAATATTTCGTGCACTTTTTTTTTTTAATTTGCTCACTGCCTGTAGTTGCTTTGAGGGCTGATATAATTGTGTGGGCCAGCCTGTTCAGCAACTTAAGATTCTTCAACATCAGCCTCTTGAATTGGGTTCCAGACATATGCCACCACACCCAAACTCATGCAAGGCTTTTACCATTTGCTGGAGATCTTTCTTGGAATCAAAAACACTATACCGAGAGCTGCAAAAATGATGGATTCCTAATTAGGTTCTTTTCTCTATATTAACTAGCTAGCATTCTTCTGAAAATAGAAGCGGTTGGGGCACTTTCTTTATATAGCAGTTCACATAGTTGACTTATAAGACCTTTAGAATTAGTCACAAAGTCACAGGTGCGTGGAGCTGGACATAAGCAAGTAGCACTTGCCTTTTGTCTGCTCTGGTCTTCAGTGTTTGGGGGCTATGCCCTTTCACTCACACGGGAGAATTATTTTAACCTTAGGAAAGTGAACAGTGAATCTGGCTTTAGGGGGTACAGTTCAGAGACAGAGGTGTTCCAGATGTGCAAGACTGGTTCTAGCTGGATCTGAGCATTTAAGCTTGGCCCTGGCCTTCTTTAGAGTAGAGGTAGACTGCAAATATCATAAACGTCAGCACTGCAAAACGCCTAGGGATAATGCAGGTGGATTGTGTGTGTTTGTTTGTTATGACATGCCAGACATCAAAGGTCTTCACATTCTGGAGCCAAATGCACTCCTAGGTTCACATGATCTCAAAAGGGAAGTCTGCAATTCTACTCCCCTGCCTCTACGCCCTATTCTGCATTTTTCACTATGATACCATCTCTTTGAGAGCCAATATGGTATCTAAATTCAATCACAAAGCATACCCACAGAATACTTACATGTTAGGGTTATTTTATATCTACATATTGACAAAATGAATACAGGACAAGAAACAGGAACAGCAGCAAAAACCCAGTTAATTGAGAGAAAACAGTAAAGGCAGTCTGTGAAGTTTGATATTTTATGAATGGCAGCAGGTGATCTGATATTTTCATTTAGAATCAGATCATTTTCTGATATCTACTTCTTAAGCATCTAAGACAGGATTTATATTTATCATGGAAAATATATTTTTTATAAACTCTACCTTACTCTGTGAGACTTGGGGGTAAAAAGCATAAATGAGCAAGTCAGACAAAAATCCCCGCCTGCATGGGGAATCACAAAGTTTCAAGCCTAGGTGAGGAGGTATTGGCAATGGATGTGAGAAGACTCAGTTTTCCTCAGGGATGAGACCCCCAAGAGGCTACCCATGCTCCAGTACACAGCCCTATGCCCATACTGCACATACTAATAGCACTAAATAAACTCAGTAGGTTTACAGAAAAAACAAGACATTAATTTGAGAAGGAAAGTGAACAGGGCAGGAAATGAGGGGGGTTGTGTTTGATCAAAACATACTCCTCAGCTGGGTGGTGGTGGCACATGCGTTTAATCCTAGCACTCAGGAGGCAGATACAGGTGGATCTCTGTGAGTTTGAGGTCAGCCTTGTCTACATAGCTAGTTCCAGGACACCCAAGGCTACACAGAGAAACCCTATCTCAAAAAAAACCCCAATAAGATGGATAGACAGACAGACAAGTAGATAAAAATACTCTACATGAATGTATAAAATTTCCAAACAACAAAACAAGCTTTATTTCAAAATACAGCCATAATTTAGTCAATTTTTAAAGTCACAGGAGGAAGTCACAGTAACAGCAATGGTGGAAGCTGGCCGTCTCTGCCTGACAGTCCCTCTGATTCTCTGTTAAAGGTGATGCACACAGTGATTAGTGTGGATTGCAAAAGAGAATCAAATAAGAACAGCCTCAATCGCTTTGCTAGGCCTTGGACAAAAGATCTCAAGAGAACTAAGTCACTGTGCCTTGGCTCATCTTTCAACCCTGGAGACAAGTCACAGCCAGAGGCCTTCATCTCTCCCCAGCTAATATCTATATTGTAATTTAAATGTAATCCAGAAAAAAAAAAACGACAACTTCATACCTTGGAATAAAATAGCATGGAATGTGAGCTGCTCTCATCTTTTGCATATTTACTCTGGTTGAGGTGGGGTCTTTCAGTGTGCTAAGATCAACTGTTAATACTCATGCTAACAAGCCAATGTTCTCTTCTGAAATCTCTGAGGCTGGAGGTACAACCAAGGTTTTCGCCCAAGTTAGTTACCGAATCTGTATGGAGGAAAACAAGGCAACATGAAAGCAGAGAAAATGAGTGTCCCGGGAGGGACTCCTGGATTTTGTGTGTATTTTTTGAGGACTACTGACCGGACTGATGAATTAACTCTGGCACAGTGTAATTTGACAACGGAACTCATCTGAATAGCATTACAGATTAGGGAAAAACAGTCATGAGTTTGTGCAATTGATCCAAGTTTCTGGTTGAAAGACAAGTACCAGACAAAGAACAGAACTGAATCTCACCAATGAACACATACTGAACTAATGTATAACATCTGAACTTCGACTAGAAACGGATACAACATCCTTTCAAGGTTAAATGGATCTTTGCATAGAGTTTACTTTTCAACAGCAAAGAATTGTGCGGCAAAATTGAGGGGGAGGGAGCATCATTCAAGTCAGATTCAATAGTGCCCCCTGTTGGAAATTATCAGAACTTCCCCTTAGGTCAAATTAGCTTAGCTCCTATTAGGCTTAATGCTGCTTAAAAGGTTCCTCTCCATCGTTAGCGTCTCCACTCCAGACTTTTGCATAATTTATACTGAACTACATTTGTGTATTACTTATGCTTTCTTCAAACTACTCTGAATTACTTAATATCCAGCACATTGCCAACTTTCCCAATCCTTCCTGGGGTTTGTACAAGCTGTTCTCTTTGACACCTGCTCCTTGGTTAAATTCTTCTTTCAGAGTTAAGATGAAAGTCTTGCTTAATGACAAAACAATTAGAACATACTGAGAACTTACTACATTGTTGTTCTAAGTTCTTTCAAATCATTAAGGGAAATGGGGATGATTATCTGTTACATGGGAGAAGAAACTGACGCAGAGGAAATTTGTAAAAGTGTTAGAAAAATGAGCCAGGAAATTTGTGGTAAAGAAAGGAAACGTTAATGCCTGACTGGAGAGGCTGGAGAGATGGCTCAGTGCTTAAGAGCATATGCAGTCTCTTCCAGAGGACCCGGGTTGGATTCCCTGCACCCATATGGCAATTCACAAAGGTCTGTAACTGCAGTTATAGGGGATCTGACTTCTTCTGACCTCCGCAAGAACATGGCGCAAACAGGAAATACAGTAGACGACAGTAATACTTTGGGGCATGATCCTCTCAAGTCTCTGTAAAGGCTTGCTTTAGTTCTTTTGTACTAACATAAGGAGCACCCTTGGACTGTGAATCCTAGGTTCAAGTGAATGGCAGCCAGAGCCCAAACAGTCCTGAGGTGCAGCCAAGTCCGGCTCGATTGGTTCCCAAGTAAGACAATTTGCCTCCGAAATAGTCGTGTAAAAGATAGTGTGCATCGAGACACAGAAGAGCTCAAGGTCTGCCTTCCATCATTCCAAGACTGAATGCTGTGAACATCTCCATACTGGTCCCTCCGGTTGTAGCCTTAGGGAGAGGAACGGCCAGCTTTCCCCACGGCCTCATTGGGAAACCCCTCCTCCCAGACTCTGTGCCTGGAAGGCTAACCACAGCCCACCAGCTTCAGCCCCGGAAGCCTTGCACCCGTAGTTGAGCGCGCGCAGCGGCGGCAAGGGTGGCGGGAAGCTCCTCCGCCCCGCCCACCAGTCCGTGTCGGAGGCGTGGTGAGAACAGGCTCCGCCCACACCAAAGCGGGACCTCTGGGCAACCGGCACAACACAACAAAATGGCTGCTGTGCTGCGAGTAGTCTGAGGGGAAGTATCCCAGCGTCTCCGCGTTGCCTCTCCCGCTTGGCTGTTCCTTCACGTGCTGAGAGAGTGAGTGTCCTTCGGCGTCTGGACCGAGCCGGGGAGGCGGGCGGCAAAGGCCGGAAGGCCCTGGCCCAGCGTGAGGTGGGCCGGCTCCGGACGCTTCGGGGCGGGGGAGTGTGCTTGGAAAGGGGATTGGACGGGAAGGAGGAGGGCCGGGGCCGGCGTGGGCCGGAGAGGGGAGGTCAGGGGAGGAGAGGCGTGCGCGGCCGAGGACTGGGAGCTGCTGTGTCGAGAAGTTGGGGCGCGGCGCTTTGAAGGATGAGGTTCCCCAAAGAGGAAGAGTGCCAGGGTGTGCCACTGTCTGCGGAATAACCGCGATGGAGTTGGGCTGGCAGTCCTGAGGGTTCTACTGTTAACTTAACCTCAGTTCTGTGACTCTGAGCATGTTCCTTCGTTTGTTTGTTTGTTTGTTTGTTTGTTTGTTGTTTTTGTTTTTTACTTAAAGGTATATAGATGATGGTGGGAGACATGCCGTGGGGCGTATATGTAGGTCAAAGCACAACTTTGTGGAGTCGGTTTTCTCCACTTTTAACATGGATTACAGATACAGAACTTAGGTTATCAAATTAGCACAGAAAATGCTTTACCCACTGAGCCATCTCACTGGTGCTCTGGGCATGTTCCGTAACCACTTCCTAGATGTATTAGTTAAGGTTTCTATTGCTGTGGTAAGACATTATGACAAAAAGCAACTTGGGGAGGAAAGGGTTTATTGGCTTACATGTCCCTGGTTACAGTGTGCTGGGGAAAAATTAAGGCAGGGACTCTACGTAAGAATTGTAGAAGAAACAGTGGAGATATGCTGCTTACTGGCTTGCTCCTCAAAGCTTGGTCAGCCTGCTTTCCGTATACCTCCCAGGATGTGCTTAGGGGTGGCACATTCCCCAGGGATCTGGGCCCTCTCTCATCAATCACTAATCAAGAAAATGCCCTACTGACTTGCCTACAGATCAGTCTTATGGGTACATTTTCTTAATTAAAATGTCCTCTTCACATATATGCCTGGGTTTGTGTTCAGTTGACAAAAAACAATCAGCACACTTGATCATGTTTCTTCATATGTAAGAAACAAATCACTTTGGAGTGCTCAGCATGTGTCAGATACAGTTCTAGGTATTACATTAAGTTTAAAGTTGTTTAGAATTCAGTGAAACTAATGCAACTAGTGGAAGTTGCATTCACACTTAAAAACTGACCCAGTAACCTCAGAGTGAATAATTTGTCTTATGTCACATAGTAAATGAAACGTGAAGATTTTTATTGAGGCCAGGTAGTTCTAGGATTTGAGGTCTTGATTGCTAACTATTGCTTGTAAATAAGATGGGTATTTCTGTTCTTATGTAGCATCTTAAGGATTTAAATTTGGCAAGCTCTGGAGCTGCAGAGATGGCTTGGAGGTTTAGAACAAGACCTCTTCCAGAGGTCTTGAATTCAACTCCCAGCACCCTCATGGAGGCTCACAGCTGCCTATAATGGGAGCCGATGCTCTCTTCTGGTATGCAGATACATATTCATAAAGTGCATAAATAAATCTTTAAAGTGAATTTGGCAGTGTCTTTGGAGTTTTATCCTGGCCCCTTCAGGCAAGAAGTCCTTGCATTGTTTACTCTACTCTTGTAGCTTATAGTCTGACCAGAGAAACAATAAATAAGCAGTTTCACAAATCCAGTTGAATGAATACTCATAAATCCTTTGGTGCAGGGTCTATGTAATACAGAGAGACCATTTTCTCGTACATTCTGAGTGTAGAAACCTTACCTTCTTAGCTATGTGTTTTCTTAGAATCTAGTATAGTCTTCAAATCATAAAAATTGTTCAATAAGGTTGAATAAATAAGTTAATAGAAAGGGATAGAAAGTTTGGGGTTTGTGTGTCCTGTTTGTTTGTTTGTTTGCTTGTTTGTTTGTGACAGGGTTTCTCTGTGTAATCCTGGCTGTCCTTAAACTGGAGAAATGGAGGAAGAATACTATAGTGTTTGGTAATTGGGACAGATTTTGTGGAGAAAACTTTACAGTTCAAATGGTAGTGAAAAAATAAAAGGCAGAAATAGGCAGCACAGAATGGGGCATTGACTTTAGAAATGAGTTATGGCTGGGATGGAGACCTTGAAGATGGTGAGAATAAAGACCGGGCCTCAGAAGTTTAAAGAGAATATTTACATAAGCCAGAGGGTATGAAATGAAGAGAATCAGAGGAAAAGTACTAGGATATTAAAGGGCTGGGCAAAGGTGTTAAGGGTTGTTATATCAGGGCGAGTGTCTGGGTTTGTCGGGGGTGGGATGAGTAGTGTCTTAAAGCTTAGTCAGATGAGTCTAATCGGCACAACATCCCAGCAGCTTGCTCTTGCTCTCTTGAGCATCTGCTGGGCTTTTAGAAGCGAGTCTCCAGCCATGAGCATGTGTTCTTGTCTTTATTTTGTTCTTGACACCTCACTCTAGTCCTCTTCTGCCCTGTCTTTTCTTTTCCGTTGTTTCTATTTGTTCATTCTGGACCAATATGCTTAGTCCAGAACACACACACACACACACACACACACACCCCACTACTTTAAACTGCTAACTACATGCATACGTTTTCTTTCATTCACATTTCAACCCATTGCAAACAACAGCCCAGATCAAACTTCCTCCCCATTTCTCCCTTAAGAAATGGGTGGTTGCCACTGAAGCTAACTAGCTATAAAAAATATAATGCTAGTGCTCAGTATTACAGAGGGTTTACCAAGGACCAAATGCTGTGATAAACTTATGTGCATTGTCACATTAAAAGAACCGAATGCACACTGGTTCATATTTTACAGATGAGTTCATTTTTCCAAACTTCCTCACCAGTAGAATAAACAAGGACTTATTCCTCCTATGATCCCCAAACCCATTGCTGAATGAGTCTTCTGGGGTCCAGATCATGTTTTTCATCATGGCCTACAGGGCACTGTGATGTCTTACCCAAAAACTATAAGTGATTTTTGCCTCACTCCAATATACTTAGTCCAGAACACACACACACACACATACACACACACACACGTGCACCACTACTTTAAACTGCTAACTACATGCATACTTTTTCTTTCATTTTTCTTATATGTAACTAAGCACACAAGTCAGAGAAACTTTCCCTGAACTCACAACACCATTGTTTATATGGCTAATCACCATCACAAGCTTTTGCTCTCAATTTAAAAAGTGTGGCTAAAATAACAAAAACCCTTTTGTGTCTAATATACTATTCTTTCATGGAAAAGGATCTCTTGGTCACATGATTGATTCTGTGCTAAGGTGAACTGGCAATCTACTTCAAATATGAATAATACACTCAAGCTTGAGAAAACCTAAGATGCAAACACTTAGATAAAATACATTAGTCCTTGTTGTGGTTTGAATGAGAACGGCTCCATAAGCTCATGTATTTTAATATTTGGGCCCCAGCCAGCTGGCTGTTTGGAAAGAATTAGGAGATCTGCCTTTTTTGGAGGAGTGTCAGTAGGGGAGGACCAGTTAGTTGTCCCTGTGCTTGTGGATGAAGATGTAAGCCCTCAGGTACTGCTCCAGCGCTATGCCTGCTTGCCTGCTGCCATGCTCCTTGTCATGATAGTCATGAACTGTAAGCCCTTGATAAAGTCTTCCTTCTATAAATTGCCTTTTTTTTATAGTGTCTTATCACAGTGATAGAAAGTAACTAAGATACTCCTGGATAAAATTAATTAATGGATGATGCTAGGTTACAGTTTTCATAAAAGCAAGAAATTAAAAACAAAACAGGGACGTTCAGGACCAACCTCCTATTTTTTTTCCCATCTCAGCATACCTAATGATTATAGAAATAGGATAATATGTCATGTACTACAGAAATATTTTTACATTTTTCTTATTTTTGTTTAAAAAGGCATCCCGTGTCATTAGACAATTCAATTATTTTGTATCATACATCATAGTCTTCTCTTCAAAACTTTGCAATTGTAAACCATCTAGAATTATTCTTGTCAAATCCTAACGATCACCTCATTAGATTATTATGAAGTCCTATATTCCCTCCCCTGATAAGTAAATTATTACTTATAAGTAATGATTCCTATAGAATTAGGAAAGTATTCAGTGGATTCCAGAAACTTGTATCAATGAAAGAGTAAGTGATGGTCCCAAACCCCCAGTTCCCTCCCTGAGCTGCCATAGACCCCTTGAAGTTTGCGTGTAGAAACACACGCTATCTCATAGGCTGACCATCTCAGTAAATCAGGTTCAGAGAATGGAGCCTGGGACAGCACTTATGGACAGAAATAGAATCTGCAGGGACAGCTTTATTGGTTGCAGATCAATATTCATCTTATTTGAAAATAGTCTGATACCACAGCAACCTTGTGGTTAAGTAAAGCTTTACTGAGACTCAGCTATTTATTTCAAAAGTATATTGTTAAACTGGGCTTTCAGTTTAGTTTTGTACATGAAGGTATTTGGCTACAAGGAAACTCAAGGCCAAAGAAAAGCAACCTTAGGCCAAATTCAACTTACGTAAAGATTTGTATACAACATTCTATTACAATATCCTCTTCTGATACCAACTTGTCATTGGATTGAAAACTACTTAATATACTATCTCACTAAAATTTTTTTCTAAAATATAGCTGTACATTTGAGAGACAAGGGTATACATTAGATTGTCAAGGTGATATTTAAAGGA